ATTCCCTGATCTAAAAGCATTATCACGTTATTTTCTTTTGCTTGGAGTATTCTATTTTCCTCCAAATAGTTTTTATATTGTAATGAGGCACTACAAACAGCATTTATCATTTCATTGTTTATTTCTATTTTGTGAGCCTTTAATTTGTTTGACACCATAAAATCCTTGATAGTGCAACAAGATATAAGTGACAGTCCTTTCATTTTTTCACTGAGTATATTACTGGTAATACTAAAACCTCTCTCAATTGATGCTTGCCCATAACATAAAAATAAATATCAAAACTTTTAAGAAAACCTTATAATCTACACCAACTTTATCGTTTCAAAATAAAAGTAGATGAACTTTCCTCTAACAACTTTAAAAATTGTATGAAAGCTTGATCACATTCATTTGAAGTAATATGTGAGCAAGAAAGAACTAGATGTAGTACAGATTTCATCTGATGAAGAAGATCAGCTTTTTGTTTATAAAGATTTGACACTGGATTGATGCAAGCAGTTGCTTCCAGAAAAGAAAATTGATTCAAACTTCTTTCTATTATTTTTTCCAGAATTCCAAAGTTAATGAGACAGCAATCTTTTATGAATCTATGATGATTGAATACATTATTGAATTCAATAATGTATTCAATAATCATTAATTTTAATAGCAGAAAGTTTTCCTTTTTTGTAAAATCATATTATTGAAATTTCCTGCCATTAACGATGTTAAGGACATCTTGTTTTATAATTAAACCCATTAAGCTTTTAACAGTTGAGAACAAACCTTCAAAAAGAAAGGGAATCATCTGGGCATTGGTTTGATATCTCAGTAAGATTTTCTGTAAAAAACTTGCAATGTAACCAAAAAACTTCAATTTAGTCAGAATTAATTTATCTTTTGTTCTCTCGAACCAGAGTTGTTAGTCCTTGACCTGAAAATTTTGGTCTTGACATTGATTGTTTTGGCCTTCACCATAAACCATGACATCATTGGCCTTGCCCTTGTAACTTTTAGCCTTGATCTTGGCCATGGACTTATAATGAGTGGCCTTGGCCTTGGTCCTGATAATTTTGGCCTTGTTAACAACTCTGCCCCAAACACTTGTCATAGCTCTTTTATTTTGGTTACTTACTTTTAGAAAGAGTCTCCCAATACTTGGTTATTTTTTTAACATTCTCCCAAAATAAACAAAGCCTATCTGCAACTTTTTGGTCTACAACCCAGCGTGTAGAGCAAAATGCACAAGGAAAACTCTCACATTTAATAACAGTTACATAATCAGCTCTTCTAACTGAAGAATCATAAAAAAGGTTGTATGATGCTTTCATCAACTTCTTTATATTCTATTCAGCAGATTGAAAACCCGATTTGAAACAATGTATTAGATGAAGGTTACAGCTTCCAACGTTAAGAAGTTTAGGTAGCTCTTGTTAATCATGCTGCAATTCAAGAAGATTAAAACTGCTCTAAAACTGAATATTTAGATCCTATTGGACATTTTTGCCTATTATCAGCCATTTTTCAAACAAAGGATCAATTAACCATTTTTCTTTGAATTATGTTGCAAACTTTAAATTAATGTAAACACAATATGATTAATTTTTTTTTAAAATGTTAAACATTAACCCTGGTACCCTTAAAAAGGAAGATTTTTATTAGAAAAAATTTAAAAACATTAAAGAAAAATTAAAAAGTCCCTTGATTTTCCCTGATTGTATCTAAATTTCCCTAATTTTCCCTGAATTCCCTGATTTCCCTGATTTGGTGGCAACCCTGTCAGAAACAACACAATGAGAAACTTCCAAACAGGGGCGCTGAGAGCTTTTGCCCTGCCTGGGACAGCAACCCTGACTGGCATCCTCATTTTTATACGATTTTTCTATACTATTAGTCAAGGACCTTAGTTTTGGTACCTTTTTTGTTTTACACCCCTGCTGATCTGAATGCTGATAAAATTTTAAGCATATATAGTGCCGAAGCTTCGGCTTTGGCAAAGTGGCTTTGGCCGAAGTTTTGGCTTTGGCAAAATTTTAGCTTCGGTACATCTCTAATTTAAAGGGATCCCAAACTTCTGAGACATGTGTTCATATTAAAAAGAGTCATAAAAAAAAATGTTTGCGCTAAATTTTTTGATTAAAACAAAAGAAAAAATGCATACCAATAAAAATAACTTTTTTATTTTAATCAAAGCTTGCCTTCTCTGTTTTGTTGAAGACCAAAAAGTCAGCATAATATATGCCGCAATCTACAGACTTGATAATTTATTCAAGCATGTTTTATTCCTAAGAGTTTTAGTACATGACATCATTGACTTTTTTGTCTGTCTTATGTAGACATCGATTTCTTGGGCAAAAGAAAAAATCAATGACCTCATGTACTGAAACTCATAGGAATAAAACTAGAAGCAATAGAATAAATTAGTCTGCAGATTGCAGCATATATTATGCTGACCTTTTTGGTCTACATCAAAACGGAGAAGGTGAGCTTCAAAATAAAAAAGTTGGTTCTTCTTGGTATACATTTATTCTTTTGTTTTAACCAAAAAAATTTAGCCCAAACATTTTTTTTAATATTCTCTTTAATATGAACACAACATGTCTCAGAGGCTTGGGATCCCTTTAATTTAAAAGCATTTTAAATAATATAAAAAGATTAGTAAAGATCAAAGTTATTTAACTCTAGTGATTTTCAAAAACATTTGTCATTTTTTTCACCAAAAATATTTATTACTACTGTCTGGTCTTTAAATTATTTATTCAAAATATAAACAATTTTGTATAAATAATTTTTTTTTAACTTTTTACGATTTTATTAAAATGTAATAAATAAAAGCCATGGTTAAATTGTTAAAAAAAAAAAAAAATTAGATGGATGGCACAGATCCAAAACCAAAAGACAAATCCTACAGTTACAAGATCAAGGTTCAAGGGAATGACAAAGTTGAAGAAGTAGATGTCTGTGTCAAGGGATTTATTGCAATTTTTGGAATTTGTTTCAGTTTGAGCAAAAGGAAAAATAAAACACACAATGCTTAGGGGAATTTTAGTGGAGTTTTGCTAATTCCTAATTGTTTATTTTTAACTAAATTGCTAATTATTTATTTTAATTTTTATGTATTTTATGTAGTATTTTTAATAAAGAATTTAAACAATTTATAGATAAATTTTATCATTTACCAATAAGATATTTCTAAATGTAATTTATGTTCATAAACGTACTAGGCCAAA